GCGATGCAATTGTTACTAATAGCTTCTTGTTACTACTAGTAAGGCACTTGTTACTACTAGCGATGCACTTGTTACTAATAGCTTCTTGTTACTACTAGTAAGGCACTTGTTACTACTAGCGATGCACTTGTTACTAATAGCTTCTTGTTACTACTAGTAAGGCACTTGTTACCAATAGCTTCTTGTTACTACTAGTAAGGCACTTGTTACTACTAGCGATGCACTTGTTACTAATAGCTTCTTGTTACTACTAGTAAGGCACTTGTTACTACTAGCGATGCACTTGTTACCAATAGCTTCTTGTTACTACTAGTAAGGCACTTGTTCCTAGAAGCGATGCACTTGTTACTACTAGTAAGGCACTTGTTCCTAGAAGCGATGCACTTGTTACTAATAGCTTCTTGTTACTACTAGTAAGGCACTTGTTACTACTAGCGTGGCACTTGTTCCTAGTAGCGTGGCACTTGTTTCTACTGAATTTGCGTTCAAGCAACAGTTATTTCTGGAAGTGCTAACTAAGGTCGCGGTTCATTAATTTTTCACAACAGAACGCAATATATAGCAATTCCATGCAATTCCTAAACGTCACAGCTCTAATTACTGTACCATACGGCATGGAAGTCCTGGGGTGATTCTCCGCCACTCTCCTCTGTGACAACCCATGAGTCGCCAAAGCAGTAACCCCTCCACATTTTCAAGTGAAAAAGAGTGCAGACAGGCCACTGGCCACCACTGTATCTCCATCAAATGCTGGTAGTACATCGCTGTGTGAAGCCTCCAGGTGTTGTTTCAACACCGATTTCAACTCCCAGAAAAAGGCTTCGGTGAAACCTGCCATCTTCCAAATCCAACCGATCTTTTCTTCCATCGTCCTACGCGTCCCTCGTCCCACTCGTGACGGTCGCGACCCCGTTCGCCTCCGCTTTAAGACTTCAGGCAACTCCAGCAGGACCTTCACATCCTTCTCGCGCATCCGCTGGATGGCCGCACTGCGGAGTTGAATGAAGCCCTGCCAGAGTTGAGAGTGGACCCAACTGCTTGAGCTCCACAAATCTTAAGCAACGCCAAAGCAAAGCGGGGGGGCACCTTCACCTGCGCAAGAAGGGGTGCTGGGAGGTTGCGCTCATTGAAGAACTGCCTGATTTGTGCCTGCGGTGCAAAGCAATTAAACTTGGAGTGACCAAGGAGGTAGGTGGCTTCCCGAACCGGAGAAAGTCCTATCTCAACAAGTAGTAGTATTGCTCTGACTACCACTGGCATACACTTTTGTTTGGTCCACGAGTCCACGCCTCTTGGGAAGCGGCACTCATACGCACCGTCCGCAATGCATTCACTGCATTGGTGATAGAGCTCAAGAACGAGGAGAAGAGCGCCAGGGCAACTAGCACAACAGCGATGGAAAACCTTAAGGCCAACATGATTCTCACAATCTCTCACCAACCTCCCACTCAAAAGGAACGCCCCCTTGACCCCTCGTTCTGTCATCCGGAATGTCCTTGCAAAGTCTGGCGCATGTGATGCGGCATGTTCTTCCGAGTCACAGCCTCTCTGGCACACTGACAGGCGCAATATTGTTGGTGGCAGGTGTAAACTGTGTCAAGCTCCAGTGAAGTGAAACGGCCTGAGAATGCTGCCGTATGCTGCCAGCGTCTTTCAGGTCTGGCGTTGCATTACCATTTTCCACCCACCACCTACTGAGCCAATCGGCAGGCGAAAAAAGGAGCAGGGTATTGGCCCAAGGATCCTGGCCCGAGTTTCCTGGTAAACCCTGCCCTCCACAACAGTCGCTACAATGTCTTGGGATTGTGCAACACATGAGAATGGTTCAAGAATGTCCACCTACTAAGCCTCAATTGGTAGAGGACGACTGATTCAAAAGATCCGATTGCCTGGTCACCAACTTGGCCTCAATTGATATGATTTCGTCAAAAGACACATCAAAATCTGGATGGCCCTTTCTGGAACCGCCACCTTCGGGTGCGGTGATTGGAATTCCTGTCGACTGGCGAGAATGCTTTTACAGTAGATCCGTTTTCAGTATTGCATATGGCATGCGAACCCGAACTCTGGACCCTTTTCAAGGATCAACGAGTTTTAGACCTGTCTGCCGGAAGAGTTGAGGCAAAAAAGGCTCACAGTTTCTGGTCCGAAAGAACGAGCAAGTTGTGGAAAGTAACCCATCGTTTCAGATCACGTTTAGTGGTTCAACATGGTTCAACGGGTTCTGCAGGGCTGCAACTTAGCTGCATAGACATCCCAAAAAGTGTAGTCCTGAGCCGCACAAGAGGCCGCAGTGCTGCTTTCGAAACATGGCGACTGAGCCCCAGGCAGCAATGCCATATCGCTCCAGCCAATTGGGTGCTCCTCCTTTTAAGGCATCTGTTCCAATGGCCATGAAGAAAATGGCCAGGTAGTGATTCACCTGGATGTCCGACCACGTGTTTAAGAATTAGTCAGGCCATGAGACCAGCTACTAGTAGCGTCCTTGTTCCTAGTAGCGATGCCCTTTGTTTCTAGTAGGTTCTTGTTACTAGTACTAAGGCCAGTTGCTACTATATATATATATATTCTATGATTCTATTATATTATTGTTCCTAGTAGCGCACATCATCGGATCAGTCAGAATCAATGGGTAGTGACTTCTTGTCCGTCTTCAGTTCTTTGGAGCTGACCGGTCGGCTTGCACCAAGGGGCAACCAGAATGAAAAACAAATAAGATGCAATCCTCAGGGTGAGCCAAAAGGTCACGGAGGTGAAGTGGTTTGCAATGACCTCCTTGGTGGACGAGGTAAGGCCAATTCCGCCAACACCCCAAGCGTCGACCGGATGGACACGACTCACGACCGTGGGAACATCGGTGCGAGATGGATGAACTAATACGAACTACATGGTCAAGGCGTCTGGAGGTGTTGAGTTTAGCTCAGGGGCAACAATGCGAGTAATCCTCTGCAAGCGGAGGAGTCGCAGGAAACGAAGGATTCGAACCGCCCGTAGAACCCTCACAGAGCTCAAGTCCTGCCAACAAGCGCCCTCGCCTCTGAGACTTGCTTCAACCAGAAAGGAGAACCCGCTCCGTAACACATGGGCTACGTCCCAAGATTTGTGCTTGACATGGCTTGGCTGTGGCTGGAACTGCAGGTCCTCAGAGTCTGTGGCTGCAACGAGCTCAAGCAACTTGATCACCACCTCAAGAAGGACCTCGTTCAAGTGGCATCCTGTGCCATCAAATGGAGTGCGAATATTGCAAAGGAAGTTGAACTGCAGACAAACACTGATCTAAAATAAGAAAAGGCCAAAAAGGTCTTAGGTTGCTTATAGTTTCTCCACATGTTGGTGGGGGGGGCCAACTACCCGAAGCCAAGTAGCCAGCGCTGTGTCGGGAATTAGCCACGTGCTCACGTAATTGCGCGCAATCCGGCCGGGACGCCTTACACCACGTGCTGAAAGCTGCAGGTCTCTTATCATTCCCTCTTGTTCAACTGCACTTTACTGCAATTGTAATTCCTGCCACTCTGACAAGGCTAAGGTACATCTCAATCCCTGCGCCAGTGTCATAGCCAGTAAAGAAGTTGTAGACCAAATCAACGATCCAGAAAAAGACCGTGAAATGACTCACCGTCACCAAGAACTCCTGCGTACTTTCGGCAGCGTTGGCCAGTACCAGGGGGATGGTGATCAAATCCCAGAAGATCAGCATCATGCCTCGATTTCTGAGTCTTCAGAACTCTGAGTTTGGGTTCAAGAAGGCCAGGCGGCCTGCAGAGAGCCAAAACATCCGCGTCAGGTGGTCAGGATGGGACACGAACCTGCGCGATTAGAGGGCGGGAAATGAGTGAGGTTCCCCACGAGCCACTGGTGAAAAGCAAAATCAAACACGGAACCACTGCATGTTTAAAAATTGAACCCCTGTGCCCCAAGCCATACAGTAATATAGTAATATATATAGTATACACTGCAAGGATCCGCAAGGACTGGCTCAACCCGTTTGAGCCACCTTTGGAATCGGCTGCTTTCGTCCATGATGATGCTTTTCACGCGCATCTGGTGCTGATTCGGCGGTGGACGATGACCTGCTATCCTTGGTCCATCGAGCCGGTCGCATGAGACTGATGAATGCATCTGGATGCTGCCCCTTGGCAGAATCCATCACCAGCATGCTTTCTCTGGCCCTGGACTTAGGTATGACCGCCAAGAACACTGTTCCAAAGCTGGGACCGAATCAGGAATGTATGACAACGGATGTTCAGCAAAGTCACGTGACTCGAGAAGTGCCGGTTTTGTACTCGCCTTCCACAAGTGCACTGTGTGCCAAGACCCATTTATAGGATTTTGTGGGAGACATCCGTCGGAATGGACTTGTAATTATACAACGGTCAGGTCTTGGGGAAGCCTCCTCAACATAAATTCCCTGATGACAACGGCATACAACGGCACATGTAGGAACAAGAACGCTACTAGGGGCTCCTGGCCTTACTACTGGGAGCAAGAACGTTCCAAGTGCGAATCTCATGAAGTCACCGGAAGTTCCCGGCCTGCTCTCCAGTTGGGCCGGATTTTGAAATATTCCGACGGCATGCTGGACCTTGGCACTTGACGTCTCTCCACGTCAAACCAACTTATATATATATGCGATATTATACCTATACATACCTATACTATACGATTCAGACTCACCAAGGTCCCAAGGAGTAATGACCGAGAGCCACATGACTCATATGACAGAGTTGCTGGGTCCTCTGCTGTCGCTTATCTTCCAGCTCCTGCCGGTCGCAAACAAGCAATGCTAAGGCACAAAGCAAGGATAAGCATCAAATCAAATGCTGGCTGAGAACAAAATCAGCAAATTGAGAAGCCTGAGAAATCCCTTCTCCGCCCAAACAGCTGGATCACCGATTCGCATGTTACTCGTCCATGGTCCAGTGGTCCATAAAGGCCAGGTGACTCCACTGGTGGCAGCTGCGGCAAACCGTGCCCAACAGGACAGTGCTTTGTGTTCCTGACAGTGTCTCATTCACGAGTTTTCGTCATTCGTTAAATAAATTCTGGGGAACATTTTGGAGATTGAAACAGTTGCTCCTACAAACGCAAACCTTGATGGTCAGCTCTACCAGTGAAGGCAGCAAGAGTTTGAGAATCACTCTGTCTCCTCAAAGCCACGCTCTTGCAATACTTCCAGATCTTTGAGGGAATGGTCTTCTGCCTCTGACAACTCCTTGGCTTGGTATTGCTCATTCTTGCAGCAGCGGCAATGTCTGGAAGGCAATGCCAGATCAGTCCCGGCTGAAAAGCACTAGCCAGCATCAAGCCAAGCTGCTGTCACTTCGGGCTCCATAGGCTTGCTCCAAGAACTATGTGCTGCGGGAGTCACGGAGATGGAAGCACCTTGGAAGCCACAAAGTGTCAATCAAAGGCTTATTGAGACCTAGCTTGTTTAAATTCTGGATTCCAGTGACCCGGCCACACCATACGGCCCTATCTTCACTAAGGTTCAGAACTCACTAACTCAATTTCTGTTGCTACGCGCTACCGCTTCGAAGATCTTCCAAGGCATCAAACTCAAACAAAATTCAGTGTGATACATCTGCATGGTTAACATGCATACAAGTGCAGCAATCGCTAGCTCTCACTCACCAAAGTTCCAGGGGGCCTCTTGATTGGACACGAGCGCAGCAAAAGCCTCAAAGCATGGACACGTAGGGAATAAAATGCAACATTATGTCCAATCATCCCCCAAGCTGGCCTGTCTCATGAGCAGCAGTGGTCTCACCTTGCGCTGTGCAGTTCTCTGCAATGCAAAAAAACGGACGACGCTCACCTCGACAGGACATGTACTTCTCCGAGCTTTATGAAGTCCAACCACACTCTACATGTCTCTGAACAAATGCTGTGAGGACGTTCCGCAATACTCCGAGGCCTTTAGTAGTGTGTTGGCTCTGTCCAGCTGTCCTGGAAACTGGAAACATGCTGCAGTTCTGATGAAGAGCTACAAGATGCTACAAGTAGAGGTGGGAGCCCGGGCCTCTCTGGAAAGGTCTCCGCAAAGGAAGAGAGGAGGGTCTCCTTCAACTTGTCGATCTCCCGGGCTATGACATCCGAAAAGCCCTTCCCTGGAAGCAAGCATGCAAGCTTTGAATGCACCACTTGATCCATTCAAGCCGCCTTGTGAGTTTTTGTCATTAAACTGCATGTCCTTGGCTGCAAGGGCCAACCGCAGTCAGGTGGACTCCATGCACACAAGATATACATCAAACAGTTGTGAGCCTGTCTTGAGCAAACCAAGTGACGGCATCCATGCTACTAGTACGCCAAAACTCACATGCCACAGATTTGTTGGATGGGTGAGAGTCCAAGGCTTCTTGGCTTTTCTGTTGGTTGGTCGGTTCTTCTTGTGGGAGGGAGTTGGCTGCCAATTGTCGGCTCATAATCTCTTTGACTTTGACTGCAGCAACCTTAACTTGTCTGAAAGATTCAAAGAATGGGGCCAGCGACTGCGGTCGGGTCTTCTGCAGCAACCGAAACGCATAGCGTAAAAGTCAAACTTGTTTCTAATAGTTTCTTGTTACTACTAGTAAGGCCAGGAGCCCCTAGTAGCTTCTTGTTCCTAGTAGTAAGGCACTTGTTTCTAATAGCTTAACAGGCTTAACACTCAATGTCGGACAATGTCGCAAGCCAATCAAGTCCGTCCTCGAAGACGCCAACATGCCTGCTGTCAGGTTGGGAAAGGAAGCATGGAGCCACTGCAGGTAGAAAAACATTCCAATTGCAATTGCAGCTGCCACATTTCGCGTCCAAGCCGCCGAACACACAGCGTTTGGTCGAAATCAAACCTGCAAGGTAAGGGTGGGTCACAACTGGCCACAGACCCATCCCTACAGTTCACAGGTACCCCATGTGCAAGAACAGAAGTTTCCGCCTCTCTGATGTCTTCCAATGGTTCGACCCTTCCGCGAACGACTGGGCTGACTGGGCCCACGGGCACAATTACACCAGCCGGAACTGACTTGTCCGGGACTGGACCTCCCAAGTGGACGCCGGAACTCATCAGAACTGAAGAGCCTTGAGTCACACTCCCGAAACAGTGACAACCCTCTGTAGGCTTTACGTAGCATGTGCTTGGTGTTTTCATGTGTTTGTGGTGCTTTGTGGTTTAGTTGGTGCAGGATGTCCCATGCCTTCGCACATATGATGCATCAAATTACTGAATCTCTCTCTCTCTCTCTGTGTCTCTCAAGGTGCCTACAATACATGGGACAAACCGGTTGACCACAACCTGCAGGTGGAACATGAGCTTCAGGGCAAAGTAAGTCAGTTCGGGGACTTTGGCCTCAGCAAACCCATTGCCACACCAGGGCAAGTGATGTTTGATTAGATTGTTTCTTGTTCCTAGTAGCGATGCCAGGAGCCTCTAGTAGCGTCCTTGCTCCGAGTAGTAAGGCCAGAGGCGTCTTGGCCCAAGCCTTCACGCGGCGCGCCTGTTACCTCCACCTGCGAGTGGGGGTACGGATTGGGCCATGGAAGCCCATCGAGGGGCACGCAGTGGCATCGTTCGCCACCTGTTCCATGCTGACACTCGCTGGCGACCTGAGTCCGAAGAAGATATCCTACCGAAGCAGGTCCTACACCGCCATCACGATTTTGCAGTGGTTGAATGCGAGCAGACAGATGGCATCAAGTACGTTTTGAAAGTGTCTAATTCAGTACTTGCCTGCATGCATACTTCTGAACCTTCACCGCTGTATACCTGGAAAATCGGAGGATGTATTCAGATGGGTGTTGTCAGGTCAGCTGACAACCAGAAGTTGCCGGATCCGTTTTTGATGCACGGCCAGCCAAACGTTCCTCCTGGATGTACGGATCCATCTTATCGACCAATTCCAGAGACTTTCGAGCCATGGGCACAAGATTCTGCCCGCTCCGAGTCGGTAACAGGATTCGGCTTCATCCAAGAAGACACTGCTTTTTGGGAACCCTGGTGCTGGCGCTTTGTCAATATACAATCGGCTGGTACACAGACGACCTACGAGCACCAGGACCAGTTCGGCGACGCTGGCACATTTTCAACAGCCTCAGGCGAAGCCATCTCATCTATGCAAAACGGCCAGATCTCAGTGCATTTCCCGACTTTACCTCCAACACGCCAGTTTGACCCTGATGTGACACTCCTGTCTCATCATGACGTAGGAGGAGCACTGGTTTTCACACAGGAAGACCCATTTCTGATGATGGAGCCATGGGCCTATGCATATGTGCATCATGACATGAACGGCAGTACTCTCATGGATGTTCACGAAGACCAGTATTTTGAACCATGGAGTGCGCATTTCATATCCTCAGAGATGCGTACTGAAAAGGCAGATCCTTTTCACTCGCCGTCGGGTCACTCAATGAAACCAGGGTGTCAACACACCCTTTTACATCGAGTCTCAACATGGTTCAAGGCCATTTTCACTTCCATGCCAACGGGGTCGTGTTCAGACGGATTGAAGTCGTGTTTCACCCCACATCCCATAAACACGAGGCCCTGTTGGAAAGATGTGTTAGGTCTGCACCCGTCTTACTGTGCAAGGTTTGAGTCCTTTTTTCGACAGTTTGGGGAAAAGCGAGGGAGACAACATGAGCATACCCAAACGACTGATCCTGCTACTGCAATTTTGTTTGAGACTCCATTTTATCCGCCACCAGATATGCCGCCATCGAACACAAGAGTCTCTCTAATTCGAGAGGGCCATTTTGGCCCACAAAAGCATGCCGATCGTCAAGACTTAATTCATCAGGCCACCCGTGTCGACATTCCTACTATGTCTATCCCTACTTCAGTTTCCCATTGCTGGACAGCATTTCAAGCAAGTTGTACAGTTCGTTTGACAACTGTACGAGATGTCATCATTCCTCCTTGCTTGCCACTGTTCCAGCAATTGCATTCAACTTGTGTTGATCAACATGAGATTGTATCGCAACACACTATCACCAACCTCGAAGTATTGAATACCCTAGAGGTCCACACACCAGAGTACATCAGACCAACCCCGGCAGATTTGGGGCAATCAAGATCTGCACCTGTGATTTGGCATACAGGTTTTTGTCATAAGAATGATCAAGATCGACTCGCTCCTGGTTCACTACATCAAACCATCAATAGTGGGGCTGTACCCGATCTTACAACCTCAGACAACCAGGACGCAGAGTACTTCGACAGTGTGACTCCAGCACCACACGATTGCAGTGTTTGGTCTCGGCAATCTTTTGGATATCGTGCTCCAAGACCTTTCGTGTTCTTCCCTCATGGCCTTACAGACTTTCAGTCTTTTTTGTCAGGACAATTGACACCGGATCCAGCATCTGAGTCACCAACAGAACCCCTAAGGGGTGGGCATCAGCAACTTCATGCTCTTCGACATCAGAATAGTGATGTTTTGGGTGCGATACAAACTTCGCCCGAAGTGACTGACAATTCCTGTCACTGTCCTACACATCAACAAGCTGACTTACTGAAAGTTCTTCGAAGCGATTCAGACCTACTCAGTTGTGACTCCCACTATGAAAGCCTTGCGTACTACAGATCTACCGCGCCGGTTGGCAGTGAACTTCCTGTCATTTTCGCCGAGGAGGAGATGCTGGTCCACAAAAGTCCTGTCAGCAATTTCATAAACGTGGAGCAGTCTACTCGGTTGTTTTTTGATTGGGCCAGAACGAGCGCACGGTTTGTTTGCAACGGAGCAAAGTTCATGGGTAGTTCATCATACTTCAAGGAGAGTTACAATCAAATTTGCCAGAACAGATCCATCCTTGTGGATGCCACTCAAAACGATTTACATGGAGGTACTATCTCCACCTCTTCTGCCCATGTGTGGCCTCACAGTTCCGCATCGATCCTACCTGACCATTTGGAACTGTATATCAGATGTCAATCAGATTGGAATGAATCCGTTGCAAGTGCAGATGGTGCCACGAGTCATGTACAAGCTCTACCGCATCTTACCATATCAAGTGGGGCTGTACCCAGTAACAACCGCGGCACTATGGATTTTTTCCTCACAAGCGATTTTATACCATCGTTTTTAAATCCACAGGCAGTCATATCGACTTCGAAGCAGATTTTTCCACCTCCACAACGTACCACAAAATGCAGTGGGGCTGTACCCATTATCTACCACAATGAAGATGTTCGACTCCCCTGCGAGGAGACAGTTTTTACAGATGATGTGATTCTTTCAAATAATTTTGCTTCGCCTACAGTTCATGATCTTATCCGAGTGTTAATGTCACTACGTTCTGCTCCATCGGAGCCCCATAACTCGCTCCAAGCTCATTTCACAATGGAGTCATATCTCCAGCTGGACGCACCGTTCGATGCCAATGACTATTGTTTTTCCAGCCAGTTGTTCCGTGAAGAATGTCATCGACCACAACAGTCTACCATATCAAGTGGGGCTGTACCCAGTGACAACCGCAGAATTTCAGACAGAAACCACTTTTCTATTCGAGACCTTGATCGTCTACAGCTGTGGCTTCAGTCTTCAAACGACTCCAAGTTAGTTCAAGCGATGCTGCAGTGTCCAGGGACTGTACAACCACTACATCATCAACGGAGCTCCATTGGAACTCTTGAGGCAATATGCAGTACTAGATTGCCACGTCCTGGTTTTGCAAACCTTACTGACAGTCAGATTCGTACTCTTACATATGATGGTGGCCATCAAGCTCATGATCGTACACCCTCAAGGGGTGTTTATGCATCACCGTATGTACCTAGACATCAGAACAATGGTGTCGTACTTCCTGTGCCACCCCAAGGACTTCTCTTCCAGGACTCCACCAGTGTTTCAAACTTTTTCACTTTGCAGTCATTGGTGGACGTTCCGACAGTTATCCACAAGCGTGATACCGTGATCGATGAGTCAGATCTACGACAATTCAATGGCAGATCCTTGCTGTTCGATATCAGAAAGGTGACACAGCGACAACTATACGAAACTACAAATTCAGGGGCTGTACCCGATCCGACCACAATGACACAAGGTTTCCTCCGAGCTCCAACACAGGGTCCACTACATGCAACTTCATCTAGTGGGGCTGTACCCGTGAACGACTTTCCACATGCCGCTTCATTTCGAGGATGGGGTAAGGCCATCTACGTTGGGGGTCACCCCGCGTGGGGACGATGTGAAATCATTCACATGGCGCCAAATCCATCATTTGCAGAACGATGCGCCGCGGCCACACAAGACAACGGATGGTTGGCCTCTGATGAAGCACTGTGGTTTCTTCGTCTGCTCAAGACCTGGAGGTCCGACATCGCTATTGGACCACTCATCCAGTGGAGCCCAAGCCGAGATCTTCAGCAT